TAATTATAATAATAAACTTACTAAAAAAACATAAAATAATGCTCAAATTTTAAAAAGCAGAGCCTGTAGCTGAGATAAAATAATAATTGGGGAGAAAGAACATTGGTAAAAAGTCTGAATTTAAAATTTTCTTAGGGAAATAATTTTGGTTCTTCTAGGTCGGAAGATACGAATATAGTCAGTAAACATCTTCATCTACATACTCTTAAGTTGGAAATAAAATAAGCAATACAAATTATACCAGATCCAGAAGGTAACAAAAATTAATGGCAAAAAGTAAAACTACTCTGACTTGCTTATTGTATATGGATACTTCATTCTTGACAATAATTAAAGAAATACAGCCAGGCATGGTGGCACATGCATGTAACCCCAGCATTTGGGAAGCTGAGGCAGGAGGATCATTGCAAATTTGAGGCCAGCCTGGGCTACAAAGTGAGTTCAAGACCAGCCTGAACTGTGTGGGGAGACCCTGTCTCAAAAAAAAAAAAAAAAAAACAATACCAAGCTTAAAATTAAAAGTGATTTACTCCTTACAAACTTTGTTGAAAGAAACTGAAAGCATATATGAATGGAGAAATATTCTGTGTTCATGGGCTGGAAGATTTACCAGGATAATGACAAAACAATCTCCAGATTCACTCTAATCCTTATGAAGGTCCCAGGGATGTTTTTTGCAGAAATAAAAAAGTTGCCGGGCAGGGTGGCATACACCTGTAATCCCAGCACTCAGGAGGCTGGGGTAGGAGGATAGTTGCAAGTTTGAGACCAGCCTGGGCTACAAAGTGAGCTCAAGGCCAGCCTGAACTGCTGAGCAAGACCCTGTCTCAAATAAATGAATGAATGAATGAATGAAAAATCCACTTTAAAATTCATATGGACTCTCAAGTGACCCCAAATAGAAGAATCTTTTAAAAAAAAAATAGAGAAAAGACACACAAGTCCTTAATTTCAAAACTTACAACAAAGCTACAGTAATCAAAGCAGTGTGGTACTGCCATAAATGCAGACATATAGCCATCAGAATAGACTAGAGAATCCAGAAATAAATTCTTGATGTACTTTATGGTCAAATGATTTTCAACACAAGTACTGAGAGCATGCAATTGAGAAAGGACAGTCTCATCAACAGACAGTGCTGGAAACACAGGATATACCTGTGCAAAGGAGTGGTATCTCAGTGACTTTTCTCATTGCTGAGACAAAATACCCAACACTCAAAGTTAAAAGGGGAAAGATTTATTTCGGTTCACAGTTTGTAGAGGTTTCAGCCCATAGTCAGCTGGCTCCAAGGCAGGGTAGCATAGCAGACAAGTATTGGAAACCAGAAGACAAGCAGCAGCAACAACAAGTGATAAGCAACTGTGACCTTGTTTCTATACTTTATGTCTTATGCAGCCTACTCACCCTTACAGCAGTTAGCACTTACGCCCAGGATGGGACACCCTTAATCCTGCCCAGAACTATGCCAAACCAGTCAGTGAATTGATTTAGTAATCACACACCCTCAATCCCAACACCACACACTCCAGATTCAGCCACCTCCAAAAAGCTCCACCTACTGACTACATGAGGCTTTGCGGGGACAGCTAGATAGAAGTCATAACAAGTGGTGTTGGAGCTTTATGCTATGCCACCTACAAAAACTAACTCAAAACAGACCAGATATCTAACCTGGGCCAGATGTGTCAATTCAGGTCTATAATCCTATCACTTTGGAAGGCTGAGGCAGAAGGATTATAAATTCAAACTGAGCATGGCAATTTAGTGAGACCCTGTCTCAAAATTTAAAAAGGGGTAGGGATGTAGCTTAGTGCTGAGGATCTAGATTCAATCTCCAGTACTACAAAACACAACAACAACAAAAATCTGGCCTTAAGCATTAAACAATAAAATTCTTAGCAAACGGAGAAAATTCTTTTTCAGAACGAATTTGGTAATAATTCTTGGATCAGACACCAAAAACACAAACAACAAAAACAGACAGAGAGAATTTTATCAATATTTTGTGTATTAAAAGATTCTATCAAGAGAATGAAATGACGGGGCTGGGGATTCAGCTCAGCGGCAAAAGCGCCTGCCTGGCAAGCGCAAGGTCGTGAGTTCGGTTCCCGGTACCGGAGAAACACCAAAAAGAGAATGAAATGACAATCCAAAGTATTTGCAGATCACATATTTGATAAGGAGTTAATATCTGTACGACATAAAGAGCTCTTACAATTAAACAAGTAAAAGCAATGCAACTGCCAGGCATGGTGGCATATGCCTGGAGGCTGAGGCAGGAAGATCTTTGCGAATTTGAAACCAGCCTTGGCTACAAAGTGAGCTCAAAGCCAGCCTGAACTGCATAGCGAGACCCTGTCTGGGAAAAAAAAAAAAAAAAAAAAAAAGGCAATGCAACTGAAACAGACACGAGAGTCTCACAAACATTCACCACAGAGGTACTAGTGGCCAACAAGTACATGGGAAGAGGCTCGGCTAGCTCACCTGGAGGACGCAAACCTGAATCATAGTGACGTATCACTTTCTACCTACAACTGATTTTTACAAAACAACAACAAAAAATTATGTGCTGGAGAGGTTGTGGAGAAACTAGATCTCTTATGCTTTACTGTTAGGAACGGAGAAGGGCACAGCTGCTATGAAGAACAGTATATGATTCTTCTAAAAATTAAACTTAGAACTACCCCTTGACCCAACAAACACACTTCCCAAGAGAGTCAAAAGCAAGGGTATGAAGAGATACTGGTACACTTGTGGTCACAGGAGTGTTATTCACACAGTGAAAAGGCGGAAGGAATCCAACTGCCTACCAGTAGATAAGTGGATAAGCAAAACACGATACATCAATGTAAGTATTATCTAGCTTTAAAAAGGAAATCTGACACATGGTACAACATGGATAAACCTTGATGTTATCCTCAGTGAAATAATTCAGACAAAAAGAACAGTCCACTTCTATGAGATACCTAGAATAGTCAAATTCATAGAAACAAAGAAATCAAGTAGTGTTTAACAGGAACTGGAGCAAGGAGGAAATGAATAAAAAGTTTAACTTGGGATGATGAAAAAGATATAGAAAATGGTTACAGAAAAATGTGACTATATTTCTCCATCCTAGTAATGTTATCACCAGCAAAGACCAGCTCACAGAATGCTCTATTTCCTTTAAAAAATAATACACCAATTATACTTCTCCACATGCATGGAGAACACCTAGAGCAGTGATGGCAAACCTTTTAAAGCTTTCAATGATAACAAACAGCCTGCTGGGACACACATATGGCTTAAGTTTGCCACAACCAACCTAGAGTTAAACCAGATTTGCAAATGGAGCCTACAGGTCACAAAAACCATCAGCCACTTAAATGCATAAAGAAATATCCTACTGGGACTGGGGGTTTAGCTCAGCAGCACAGCGCCTGCCTGGCAAGTGCAAGGTCATGAGTTTGATTCCCAGTACCGGAAAACAACAACAACAACAAAAAAAAACAAAAGAAATATCCCACTGAGTAAAATGTCACATAAGGTATTAGGCAATTCATTCATTACCATATCTGTCAACACAGTTGGCAATCATTGTGTTTTATCAATTGTGAAGCAAAGATACTTAATTTTCCTGGCATAAGACTACATGCAAGAAAATACAGCAAAATCATGGGAGCTCTTCAAGGGACTGCAATATGGGAACTGCCTGTGTTTCATTCTGGAGAAAATCCTATACTTCACAGCTTTTATTAGCTCAGTCAAACGGGATAAATGTAATAATAAAAAAAGAATACAACCAAAATAAAGGAGGGTTACACACCAGCCCTAAAAACAACAGTGTGATCTGATGAGGCTTTTGAAGGAATCCAAACTTTGAAATATTATTTAATTCTTTCAGAACTAGCTTTTGTGTGGCTCAGAACTGTTGATAATTTAATCCTATAGCACTGTGCAGGACCAGAGGGATTAAACACAATCAAACATACTTCTGGTTATGCTCCCCAAATAGAAAGAAATGATTTAAAATAGGTCTATCAGACTTAAGAAACATTACTTCACAACAATCAGGCCTCAATATTTAATCTCAAAATGTACAAAATTAAAATACATAGTTTCTTCAGAAAGATAAATGTATACTGCTTCATAGCAAGCCTGTTATATTTTTATTAGCATTTACTATTTTATGTCAAGTAACCTTGAAAGACTTACTTTTTTTTTTGACTTTTTGAGTCAGGGTCTCACTATGCAGTTCAGGCTGGCCTTGAGCTCACTTTGTAGCCCAGGCTGGTCTTGAACTCTGCAACAATCCTCCTGCCTCAGCCTCCCAAATGTTGGGATTACAGGCGTGTGCCACTACGCCTGGCGAAAGACTTACTTTTTAAAAAGCAGATTTTAAAATAAATTAGACCATAACTACACTTCATTCAAAATATGCTATAATATAAAATACTGATTTATACAGAAGCTTCTCCTCCCGTGATCACAAATAATTAAAAAATCCTGAAGTCAATGAAAATATTTTACATCCTCTGAAAACTTTAAGGAAAGTACACTAAACACCACCACCTTCATATTCTATATATACTTAAAATTCAAAGACTTTAGACTTTACCTTGAAATGTTTAAATGTGCGCTTACGATATTCACACCACTTCACAAAAAAATGCAGACCTCGGAAAAACATGAATAAATCTCTTCTTTCTTCTGCTCTGTAGGAACAAGATTCCATGATTAATAAATATCATTAAATATAGACCAAATCTGGCCTTTTCACATGTTCTACACTAACATTTAGAAAATACTTATTATAGTTCTCTATATTGAATCCTACGCTTCTGTGTATGTTCCTCCTGCCTAAAAGCTATGCTCATTGCTAATGCTACCGTACTAGCATGAAATGTCCTTTTTAAATGTTTAAACCTGTCTACAACTTTCACATCACTCAAATGCCACATCTGCCATAAAATCTTATTTAATGAGTTCAGTTTAACAATGCATGTGTATGGGCCACTTCCTGGCACACAGCTTTAACTCTGTGGAACTTTTCCAGTGATAGAAGCATCTGTCACACTAATGAAGTGACTCAAGTGGACCTTAGATAGGAGAGGCTGGGGCTGCTTACTATAAAAACCAATCTTATCAGCAGGTGGTTGGAACTTCGGGCTAGCAGACATCCAGATGGAGAGCATGCTGGAGACTAAGTTCAAACACACAGCCAGTGATTTAATCACCCATGCCCATGTAGTAAGACCTCACTAAAAGCGCTGGACACAGGTGCTCAGTGGAGTTTCCTGGTTGGTGAACATGTTGATTTGTTGAGAGCATAATGTGTTAGATTTCACAAGAAAGCTGTATATCCCCCCCCCCGCCACCAAAGCCCCCAGACCTTAGTCTATGTGTTGCTTCCTGTTGGCTGTTTCTAGGTTTTATCTTTTATAATAAAACGGCAATTGTTAAGTAGAGTGCCTTCAGTAAGTTCTCTAAATGGTTCCAGAGATTACTAAACTTGAAAGGCTCACAGGAACTCTTTAAAACCTACAAGCTGAAAGTGTGGATGAGCACAGACTCTTCCATTTGGGGTCTGAAGGGAGGCAGTTAGGGGGTTGGGGGCTGTCTATAACCTACAGGGTTTGTTAGAGTCAGAACTAAACTGAAGGATGCCTGTATCCTCAACAGCTATAAATAATTTCATTCCTTAGCCTGAGTTCACATAGGTCTATTTATCTTAATTCTCTTAGTATTCTGTAACACTCAACCACATAAACTATGTGCAACTTGAGGTCAAGTTCCATGAATTCATCTGATGATTCACTCATGGTTATAGGGGTTCAGTCCCTATTCTAGCCACTATGGAGTAAACACACTTAACCCAAATGCTCCCATTAATTACAATTTAATGTGTTATGGGCATAATACATAAAGCAAAAAGTACATAAATCAGAAAATCTGAAATACCAAGTGAAGAAAGCAGAAGAGGTAGTCTATGCGAAGCAAGGGAAGACTTGGCAGTGAATTCCTTGGAGGTTATTATTGTCTCCAATATATCACAGCCAAGACACCAGCAACTGACAAGCCAAGACTACCACAATGTATAGACAGAAACAAACAAAAAAGGCCAGGAGATGACTGCTCCCTTCAGCCAGCAGAGGTCAAACAAGGTGAGAAGAGGGGCTGCTGCAGAACAGAACCTTAAAGACAAGGAAGGCTTTGTCCCTTTCACTGTCAATCAGGCACTAAGGCCAGAGTAGAATGTCAAGCTTGTCAACCAGTGCTGCCTGGAACCAGCAAAACCAGACAAAATGGTGTCTTCTCCTCCTAATCAGGTGCTGTGCTGGGAAGACTATGGATGGAGCTGTTTCCGTCTACCCCATGTGACACCAATCAAGAAGCACAGGAAGGGTGCTGTTCCCATTGCCCTCTAACATAGCTGCTACACACAGGGGGCTGCTCTGTCACTCTTCCACCCCTTACATGAAGCAGAGGGGAAGAATTAGCAAGGAGGAACCTGGATAAAGGGATCCATTGCATCTGTTAATGAAGTCCTCGGATCACTGTCACATGCTCATATACAAAACTGACCAGGATCTACAAAGCAAAAGTGCTGAGACTTGAATTATGGTATAGAATGCCATGCAGAATTCAGATTGAAGGTAGTATATAAGTGGAGCAGACAAAAATATGACATTTGAATTCAGATCATGCACATGGGCTGGAAAAGCTTTTAAATAAAATGTATGGATAAGGACAACAGCAAAAAATGGAACGGATACTGGGAGCCATCCTGCTCAGAAACACCAAAAACACTGTGTAGCTGTCAGAATCAGATTTACTGGACAATGGGAAGAGAGCAGAAATTTACAGCAACCAACCATACACTTAATGAGGAAAAAAAGCAACTAAAACAGAGTAGGTCTGCTTTGTGGTGTTTTAACTTGCCCTTTCCATGACCCCCACCTGGCCACAATACAGCCTTGAAGATACAATGCCCTTTTCTGTAAGAATGTAGCTCTAAAGGCTGGGCATGGTGGTGTACACCTGTCATTCCAGCATTGGAGGATCACTGAGAGTTGAGGCCAGACTGGGCTACAAAACGAGTTCAAGGCCAGCCTGAAAACTGCATAGCAAAACCCTATCTCAAAAAGATAAGAAATGCCCAAAAAGATAAGAAATGCCGGGTGTGGTGGCGCGCGTCTGTAATCCCAGCACTCAGGAGGCTGAGGCAGTTAGGATTTTTGGGAGTTCAAGGTGCACCTGGGCTACAAAGCACGCCAAGGCCAGCCTGAAATGCATAGTGAGACCCTGTCTCAAAAAGACAAAAAAAAAAAAAAAAATGTAGCTCTGACGAGAGTACTGGAAACCTTGCTCCCAAATAAATTGGATATCTTTTTTTTGACTTGTCTGTGGATTTGCTGCAGATTAACTCAAGAGGCCTATGTTTCACCTACCTCAGAACTTTTCTGCAGTTTAGATACACAAATTTCATACATAAATTTCTCAAAAATACCAAAAGGCAAATGAACAAGTTACTGCTACTCAGGACAAAGTGTCAGTGAACACAACAACAAATATGCTGAAAGCCAAGGGGGAAACGAGCAGGGTGCGAGCATCATTAAGAAGGAAAACTTTGTCTAGGGGAGGATACAAGCTCAGAACAGACATAAGCTTTCATTTCTGTGAATCTTTAGGTAAGGAAAGGATAAGGCAGAGCTGTGAGAGATATAATTAAACAGTGAAGCAGTATTCCAATGCAGGGCTAAATGCAAAGACCTAGAGAACATTCAGACATAAATACAAACATACATATGTATATATACAGTAGTTCCTCGGTCTAGGAACACTTCTGTTTGCAAATAATTTGCTTCACAAACAGAATCATTCAGCAAAATTTTGTTTTTGTTTGCAAACTCTGCATTGGATGACAAACACAATTGCAGCTATCTTTCCCAAATAAACAAATATGAGTGTCTTTCCAAAATTGTAGAACAAATTAGGTTCATGAACCAAGGTACCACTGTACTGTATATATATGTGTGTGTGTATACATATATAATACATGTTTTCATTTTACATATAATATCCAAAATGTCCAGTATGGAACAAAAAATATTAAGTATGCAAAGAATCAAGGAAGTACAAACCATTCACAGGAAAAAATAAATTTATAGAAACTTCTGTTGAAGAAACACAAAGTAGAATTACTAGGTAAAGATGTTAGATTTCTACTGAAAGAAGTCATAGAAAGAAGAGAACAATGCGTTCAATAAACAGAATAACACTATAGAAAGAGAAAGAATAAGAAACAGAAATTTTAAACCTCGAATGCCAAAAGCAAAAATGGAAAACTCACTAAAGGGCTTCAATAGCAGATTTGCACAGGCATAAGATTCAGCACAATGAATATAAATCAAATGAAATAGGCTAACTGCAGGGCAAATAAATTACTGAGTTCAAGAAAAAAAAAGAATGAAAAGTAAGCAGAACCTAAGAGACTTGGGACACCAAAGGAGCACAAACATACATACAATGGAGGGCATAAGGCGAGCTGAGAAAGAAAGGAGCTGAAAGCAATCTCAAGAAACAGTAGTCAAACACTTCCAAGTTGAAGAGTTAATATGCACGTCCTGGAAACTCATAAAGTGCAAAGGGGAAAAACTCAAGAGATCCACAGAAGATACTCAAGCTGTCAAATGTCAAAGAAAAAGAGTATCCTGAGAGTGCCAGAAGAGAAGTGACTAGTCACACAAGGAATCACCAGCAAGATTAACACCTTATTTACTATCACAAACCAGGGTGGCCAGGGAGCAATGCAATGACAAAGAGCTGCAAAGAAAGGGTTTTCAACCAAGATTTTTATATCCAACAAATCTATTTTTTCATATATTTATTTGCTGCTTCTAGTATTTCTTCATCTGAGAAGTGTGTATTCATCACAGACGCCCACTTTTGGATTGGGTCTTTAAATTTGGGTGGGTCTGATTTTTTTCAATTCTTTATATGTTCTTGATATAAGTCCTTTGTCTAAAGGACAACAGGCTAAAATTTTTTCCTACTCTGTGGTTTTCTTTTCACCCTGTTGGTGATTTCTTTTGCTGTGCAAAAGCTTTTAATAAGATGAGACCCCAATTATTGATCTTTGTATTATTGACTGTGTGATCAGGGTTTTGTTCATAAAGTCTTTGCCTATCTATGTCTGCAAGTGTTTTACCTATTCTCTCTTCCAGCACATTGAGTGTTTCTGTTTTCATATTTAGATTTTTGAGTCATTTCAATTTTAGTTTAATGCATGGTGACAGACACGGGTCTAGTTGTAGTGTTTGGCATATCCAAAGCCAGCTTTTAGAGCACCACTTGTTAAACAGGCTAGCTTTCGTCCAGTGAAGTTGTCTGGCTCCTTTGTTAAAGATAAGGTGGCTGGTTGGAGTTGTTTCTGCATCTTTTAATCTGTTCCACTGATCCTCAGGTCTGTTTTTTTTCCCCCCAGTATTATGATGTAGTAGCTTTGTAGTAGCTGAATAGCTTTGTAGTATAATTTCAAGTCAGGAATTGTGATGCCCCCTGCCTTGCCTTTGTTGCCAAGAATTATCTTTGCTATTCTAGGTCTCTTCTGGTTTCAAGTGAATTTTAGGAATGTTTTCTCTAGTTCTGTGAGGTATGTTAATGGTATTTTGATTCAAATTGCATTAAACCTGTTAAACAATTTTGGGAGTAT